CTTCCGGTTAACTAGTCTAGGAAAACCATTCTTACAAGTAAAAGACACATATGAATAAAAGGATTGCAACATTGTATAATAGACAAAAAATTTAAAACAACATAAATCTATCTGTAGAAGAATAATTACACCTCATGACATGGGAATACTATGCAACTATTATACAGGATGAAAAAGATCCAAACACACTGACAAAAAACCAGGTATATGATATATTATGCACTGCAAAAATGTTAATGAGCTGGAAAAGATTCAGCAAAGAGTGTGATAATATTTATACTAGAGTATACAAACAAATGAATACACCTTTGTATATACACTTGTGTGTCAATTATGGGAATACATTAATTAATGTGCAGATATCATGGAGTATCACTACACAGACTAAGATGTCTCTATCACTAGGCAACATACTCTTAAGGGGTTACCATATTTAGTTGTCTGTTGACTGAAACATCATTCATCATTATGAATCTTATGACTACCTATATGTTCATTCAATAAAGAAAGGATTTATAAATACATGCATCAGACTTATTACAAAGATGAACTTTGTGATAGGGAGGTGAAGATGGGGGAAGGGTCAAGGCAGGTTTTGATTTTTATATAATTCTGTACTGTATTGTGTGAGGGCTAATTTTTTAAAAAAATATTGAAAATGTAAAAATAAGCTTTTTTAAATGACATATCTTACTGGAGAAAGTATCAAAGTGGTTCACAAGATTGTTGGAGAATAAATTGGCTGCACTCTGACCACTCCACAACTTGCAGAGGAAATTGGGACAATTGAGAAAGCAGAAGCCTTAGCAGCTTGGGGAAATAGCTCTTGCAGTATTGCTCCTCACTTTCCCAGTCTCCCTCTTTCACTGAATCTGCTGTATAAACCAACATGCAAGTAGTTGCTCAACTCCCTTTCATGTTTTCACCCATGTGCAAACAGTGTCAATCCACTGAGTTTTGTGTCGTCTGCTCGTGACATTTTCTGCCTTTTTTTGTTGCTCTCTCATCTTCAAACCTCTGGCCTCATTTCCCCTTCTCTGAAACCCAAACAGGCTCAATAAATTTATATATTTTTTTTGCTTCAATAAATCATATCATTTCAATCCATTAATGAGGGCAGTTACTTTATGCTTCTGATTAGATTAATTCTTCAATTACTTTAACATAGACAATAACCATATCTGTTAATGCAATATATTTTTCTTGTTAGACAAATATCATTCCAACTTTAAGATATAAGAAGAAAAAACAGTAAAGAATGAAAAGAGTAGAAATCACTGGGTGATGTGCACCCAAGCCCCATGAAGTCAGGGTTGTCTCAAGTCTTGTAGAAAGATGGTCCTCAGTCTTCAAGTCATGATCAAGTTGACACTATCATTATAAGTGATGACCCTGAAGGTTTTAATTTGCATGTGGTGGACTCTCCCACTTGGAAACTGAAGGGCCCTGGGATAGCTCTCTGGAATTCTTTGGCTTCCTCTCCTTTTGAGGAATAACTCAATGGTGGTGGTCTGAAGAAGCACTGGCAGATACACTACCAGCTTCTGAAAGGCTCTGGCTACTTTTGCAAGGATGAATCCTTTTTTATTTTAAATAATGCAATCAAATGAAGAGCAGTTAAACAATGTGCTTTTACAAGCTTTTATAGGGAAGAATTAGGATGGTGGTTTCTAATTCATTAGGGATTGAGGTGGGAAGAAAGTTGGGGAAGGGCTTGTACACAACCAGGACTCCACTCACACACAACTGTGGATCCATTGCAGCATACTGTAATCAGCAAACCACAAAAGTGTCACCACTTCAAGCCCCACTTTTAAAAATAAAACTAGAAAATGTTTTATACTCTAGAAGCCTTGCTGCACTGCACCTGTTACAAGACACACTTCTATCCTGCAAGGAGCAGCAAATTCAGTTTTGAAAATGTTTTCTGCTTTGAGTCTGCAGAGAAATAACATCTGATCTGTAAATGAAAGGTTCAGGCAGGTACCCAAGGCTCTCAGGAGTACATGTGGAACAAAGTTCTGGCATTTGTCCAAAGCATCAAAGCACCTGAAATAACTCTAGTTTTTTTTTTTTTTTTCTGTAAGCCCTGGAAATTGGTGAGATGAGGCTAAAAGATGCAAGGATTTGAATCCAAAGAGGATACTCTGAGAAACACCTTACTTTACTGTATTCAGGACAAATGCAGACAGAAAAATCTTGCGGCTCTCACTGAAAACTATTTGCTGGGTTTTAAGCTATAATTGACACCTTTAATCTCCAAATTGTGATGGCAGTTGGCCTGGTGCACAGCCCTGGACTCTAAAGAAGAAAAGTATAAAGTATAAAGAGATGCTATTAAAAAGATTTCTGTATATCAACAAACTCTCAGAAAGTATGTTGATGAGTTGAGTGTAAACAAATAGGAAACATAAGAATACAGATTTTCTTTCAAATATATACCGGCTTAAGCATGAAAGAGAAAAACATTCAGTTATTGAAATATGCTTGGGGTTTTGCTGAACCCAGAAATTCTGAAGAGTAGGGTGAGATGCTCTTGCCAAACCCTAAATACTGCAGAGTTGAGCATTCCCTCTCACTAATTAGATACATTTCATTTTGTGGATTTCTCAATTGTTTCTTCATCATTTTTTTTAAAGACAGAGAGAGAGAGAATTTTTTTAATATTTAGTTTTTAGTTTTCTGTGGACACAACATCTTTATTTTATTTTTATGTGGTGCTGAGGATCGAACCCAGTGCCCCACGCATGCCAGGCGAGCGCTCTACCGCTTAAGCCACATACCCAGCCCCTCTTCATTTTTTTTATAAAGCAAAAAAAAAAAAAAAAAGAAATTAGCTTTGTCTCAGGGTAATGTCACTAATATTTTCACAATTAAATAATTATTTTAACCCCTGAATTAAAAACTGTCAGCTGTCTCTGTGGATGCAGTGGGCTGCCTGCTGGTTTCAATAACCCTTGAGTGCATCAGGTTAAGGACTGAATTTCTGCCCTTATAAATTAACACAAGGAAACCTACTCCATCATGCAATAGACAATTCTATTTCTAAATTTTAATTAATCCTATCCAGTCACTAACAAAACCTGCTTGTGACCTTCTGTTTCAACCTCACCCAAAAGCAAGTCTCCTGAGACGAGAAGTGTTAATATGTGAATGCTGATAGAATTTGCTGGCATTATGGTCAAGTATTAAATAGCTGACAGTCTGGATAAATTAGCTTCTGATAGCTCACTAATCAAGTGTAATAAGGAAATGTCAAGTTGGGCAGCATTGATGAAATCCTTCATCAAAATCCTGAGCTGGAGAGAGACAGAAAAAAGGGAAAATGTCCATGTCTTAACAGTGCCTCCAAATACTTCTCTGAAATATCAGCCTTGGCAGAAGAGACAAACAAGAGTAAGTACCAGAAATGTTGCAAAGGATGGCTGTGGGAGGCTATCCTGGGTGACTGCATTTATGTACAGTACCCTCAGGCTGCCTTCTCTTTGATACGGAAAACCCAATGATAACCAAGTAAATACTGTCTTACCTAAGGCATTACAAACAGAGTGGAGTTGTGTGGAGAATTCCAGTTTCCAGAAATCTGTAGAGTATGGACAGAGTCACATCTACAGAGACCTGAGGATTTCCTAGGAAGAAACCCTTGGAAAGAGAAAGCTACGCACGTGCTCTACTTGGGCATTTTTGCAGGTAGAGGGAGCAATAGTGGCCTGAGCATGTAGAAATTCTATCTGTGGCCTGGTACCTGGACAAGGTTTGAATAGAACTATACAGGTTATTTCCATATGTTCTTGAGAATCAGGACAATAGCTTTCTTTTCTTTTGGCCTCCACATTCAAGAGTCAACATAATGTGAGACTCTGGATGTGCTGTGAGCCTTTGGGCACACTCTTCAAACTTCTCCGTGTTTTCGTCTGTAAAATGGGAAATCAACAGTACTGTCTCATTAGGTAGCTGTGTGAATTGATTAGAGATAATACAGACAGTCTTAAGCAGCACCTGGTGTGTGGTAGTTGCCCTGAAAGTGTGGCTGTCATCATTGTCACGCCCTACAAAGTCTCTTTCTCTGGGCTCTTCCTCTCCTTTCCCAGTGCTGCCACTATAGCCTGTTCAGGCTGTCACAACCTCTGTCCTGCAAGCTTCCTAATTTATTTCCTTATTCTAAGTCCATAACTCTTCCAATACATCACACAAAGTACTGACACTTCAGCTTTCAAAAGCCCACTTGCCATCTCATACCTATCTTGTTCAATGGCTGTACAGAGTTCATCACAAAAAGACTAAACTCCTTGGCCTTGAATGCAAGCCCACAATGACCCCCACCACTTGCTGGCCTTGGTTTCACCCTCTAATTTTATATTTCACTTCCCTTTCTCATGAACCTAGGCACTTCCAGAGCCATACTATTTTTCTATTCCCTCTATGTATTTCCTTATTCTCCTCTACTTGTTCCAGAATTTTCTGTTTTTATAACTGCTCATTCTTCTTTCCACTTGGAATTTACATTCAGTCCAAATCCTGGCCATCCTTCAAAGCCAGGCCTGGATGCTACCTCCACCCTGGAGCCTTTATGGGTCTTACCACCATTTTACCATCCCTTCATTTTTTTCTGACCCCCTTGAACTTCACCTGGAGTGACAGTCATCACTTGATATGCCTCCTATTTATGTTCCACATTCCAGCCTCTCAGCTTCATGGATCAGGGCTGATTTTCAGTTTTTCTGATATCCCTATCCTATGCTCTACCTAGAGCAGCCCCTCTTCCAACATGGATGGCACAGTCACTGAGGAGCTGGTCTTGTGGCTTCATCTTTCTGTGACTTATTCTTAGTCACCTCGTTTCTCCTTCACATCCGTGCCTCTGGAACTATTTCAACCCCGGAAGTAAATGGGATGAAAACCTATCAGCAGGAAACCAAACAAACAAAATGCACAATGGACCCCCAACCACACCTTTCTTCTAGGAGGGAATCAGGGAGAAGATATCAGGAGTGCAGTACCTTTATACCTGGTCACTACAGCTGCGTTGGCACTGAGCGGCTCTTGGAAGCTGACAGTGAGTGATGTGCTGCTGGTTACTGTGAGACAGGCATTGGCTGGCACCTCGGGGGCTCCTGGGACAGAAGGAAAAACACAGGGATCTTAACATAGCAAATCCTTTTCAAACAATGTCTCTGCCTCTTCAAAGGATACCTGGAACATTTGTTTGTAGAAGCTGTTAGATTTTGCTTTTGAATATTTTCATTAGAAGTTTCAATGATTTTTATTTGTGGCCATCCTGGTCTTTTCTAAGGATTAGAATGTCTTCTGAAGGGGGAAATAATAGCAGTCAATCCTTCCCAAAGTATCCTAGAAACACAAGATAGATAGGGCTGGGCCAGCAAAGGAATGGCAGAAGTGACAGCAGGATCTGTAGACAGAATTCCATACCTTGCACGAAATACTTTCATGTAAATTATTTCATTAAGCTAAAACTCCTGCCCAAAGAGGCCAATTTCTTTGCTCAAGAACTCAGTGGGATGAAAGCTCATGGCTTCCTAATGCCTAATTCTGGGTCTCTTCCAGAACAGGATTCTAGCCAGCTTACTCTCAGGCTGCCTTCTATTACATTTCAGGTAGTCTTTTCTCTTATGGACAAGTTTCATGCCCTAATCTCAGTCTCTAAGGACTGATGGTGGTCTTAGGTATTTCTTAACACCCAGAAGGAGTTTTATAATTTAGAAAATTATTGAAAAATGGCATCAAGTCTACAAACGTATCTGTTTCCAATGTTAATCTGTGCTAAATAAGGCACAGTAGCAAATGCACTTACTAAAGCAATTGCTGAGTCTCTGTAAAATCCATATATCATCATGTTGAGGAAATTGTTAATATTGAGAGCAAACTTTAATTAATATTGCTGAAGTTATTTGCTTCAGAGAAGGGGTTAGGCTTACATTTGGTATTCAGTGTAAAGTGCTACTTAAGAAAACTGCTCTGCCTTTAGTTTTTTGGTCTGAATCGGAGTCAGTTATTCTTTTGCAAATAGTCTGAGGCAGAGGCAGAGAATTTCAAAGGAGTCATCTGACTTTTCCCTTACATTTAAAATGTAAAGTCAATTTTTTTTATTGTTTGAATAAAATCTTCCAGAAAGAGAGTATGATATTACACAAGTGTTTGAGTTGCATATTTTGTTTTTATACTAGGGGCTGCTCTTTCTTTTAGCAGTACTTTCCAGTGTTAATAATGAGTATTATCCAGAAAGATTTTTCTTAAGCTAACAAAAAGAATCAGTAAGGAGAATGGATATGCAGACAATAGCATAATTTATGGTTTGATTGACTGTTCTTCTCTGTTGCTTTATTAATTGAAGTTCAGTTTATAGCTCTCTATTAAAAAATGTAGGAGAGAGTTGAAAACAACTTAAACTTGAGCTTGAAGCAGAAACTAGACAAATAGGCAAACAAATTTTTTTCCACCTCCACATCCCAAAATATAGCCACTTAGGGCATCAGACAGTCCAGGTCATTAGGCATTAGGGCATAGTGGGTGGAAAGTGCTAGATGAGTATGACATGGTGGAGGGAGGCCAGAAGCACCAAGGTCTCATGGCTGTGGTCAGAGAACCTATCAGGAGCCAGAAAATCAAGCAAGACAAAAGACCCTTTTACAGCCTCCCAGAGCCCCTATTCCAAACAGGCTGACAACGGCCATCCATGACTATGGCAAAAAAAAAAAAAAAAAAAAAAAGAAGGCCTGGCTGTCTCCGAGTAAAGTTAAAAGTCTAATTAAATGTAGGAGTCCTCTGTGAATACTCACTGGCATGTTCGAAGCCCGTTTTCATACGCCTGTAGAGCCGATACCTCCACTCCCAGGCTTTTAGCTGTTTCTCTTTCTCTGTGTTGTCCAGAGTGAATCCTTCATTCTCCACCTGGGCAGACAGTTCACTCACCCTGTCCTGGGCCTCCTGGACCAGTGTGTTGAGGTGCATCGCTCGGCTTTCCAGGCTGACAACTAAGGCAAAGAAATGGGATGACTTTTCTTTCTGGGAAAAATGCTGCTGCATATCTGAGTGTCTGCTATGGAGAATGCCCGGAGAAAGTGGGATCTGTGAACCATCTTATTATCTTATTATGATAAAGTCTAATTAGTGACATTTACAACTAGATTAACTGGTAAATTCATCAAATTAAGATATTCCTATTGTTCTCTGGTCATATGCATCCCAATTAGCTGCTAGGCACAGATAATTATAATTGCACAGATTTGTGTCTGTGATGTTCAGAAAGACAAACACTAAGGGACAAAAGCTCTGTAGGGGCAGGAGAGGCACTAGAAAAAGCTACCCATGAGGCAAGTTGTGTTCTGTCAAAGCTATTCATTTGATAGAGCCTGATTTAGATTTTCTGTTCTTATCACATTCTTCCCAACACATAGACGCTTTTGAATGCCTGTCTTAGAGATATAATTTTGTTACTATCAATTTATTTATTGCTAACAAAGTGTTGTACTGCTGGTGCCACAGTGGAGCTAGTGAGCTCTGAGGGATGGATAACTTGGGTACCATCCCATACTTACCTTTGAGCAATTTGATCTTTGATGGTAGTCTAATTATAGAATTAAAGTTGTCCAGAGATGTCCATTCTCAAAATAACAACTTATACTGGTTCCTTTTTCCAAGAAACACTATGGAGCTTGACATTTCTGTTTTACATGGTGCTTCATAATCTTTATTTGATTTACATCATCTTGTTTACCTGATCTGCCTCTGTGTGATTGAGTGTTCATCAGTGATAGAACTTTTCCATCCCTGTGCTATGCTATGAGGCTGATTCTTGCTCTCAGCATATGAGGGTCTGCCTATGGGGTCATCTGGTCACTTCAGAGGATCCTCTCTTGGTCAGTGTAGGAGAGAAGACAGCCTCCATATGGAAGTGTGGTAGGAGATCACACAGTGAAATGAATCAGAATCAAGGTCTGCAGATTTGTTGCTGAAATGTGTTTGACAGGTCCTGTGACCAAAACAATATTTCCCCCTGGTGGGTGGGAAAGAAATCCATCTATTTCATTCTTTTAATTAAGGGGGAAAATATTATGAAGATAACTCAAGTGAAAATTTGTTAGGTGTATTTTGAAATGGAAATTAGGTGGTTATATATTCATATTCTCTGTGTTCATAGGCATGTTTGCATTAATTACAGGAAATGAATACTAATTTATTATTGCCCCTGCGTACCATCAGTCTAAATTTATTTACATATGAGGTCAATGAAAAATTAGTTGAGTCTTTTTTCTTTTTCTTTCTTTCTTCTTTCTTCTTAAAGTTGCTGTTTAGAACACTCAGGACTGTGTTTTGCTGCAGATTTGTCATGGTTAATGAATGTTGCTGTAGCAGTCAATCATGTACTCTAAATACTGTCACGCTTTTTTTAAAAAGCCTCAGTCATGAGCCATGACAGAAAAATAAACAAATAAATATAAAGCTAAAAAACTCTTTCACTGAGCAGCTACACTATGCAGAATCCCCCGGGAAGGCTAAAGGAGGCCAGAATAAATGATAATATAAGTGCTGTGGACGTCGGGAAGCAAGGATGGTGTATGAACGCGGAGGTTCTGGAGAAAAAACACACACACACACACACACACATACTCGGGTGCACACTCCAGTGGAAAAATTGGCAATATTAGTAGCCTCAAGGTGCAATTTCCTGGAGTAGTGAGATTGACAAGTCAGTACTAAATGCTGTTAATTTAACTAACTTCAGATTAATGGTAGAGTCTGCTATGACTGAAGCCCTCAAACACAGTCTCATTATAGCCTTGCTGGGAAGGTCCTAAATATAGGCATTGACAGTTTAAAACAAATTCGTATACATTTGTGTATTTTTAGACATAGGTTAGGCGTCAGAGTTTGTGTCACAGTTTTCAGGTTGATTAATTGACCCAGTAACTGCACCCTTTACCCACTGCCCCCCTTCTTCTTCCACTCCAAATTATAGAGAAAATGGGGGAATTGTCCTTGTTAAGTTATTCAGTGAGCCTTTTATTGTAAGCCTGATGTTTGAATTGCATGCATGCGTCAACACTTGGGTGATAGACACATGATTTATAAAAATAAATTTTTCTAATACTATGAAATCCCCCCTATTAATTTTTATATCCACAACTGTTATTACTGGTGTGAATTCCAGGTGGCATTTAAGATGGACAGCTTCTCTTGAGCTACGCTGGGTTCCCCTTGACATTTTTCCTGCTTTCACCAGCAGAACACATGTTACTTCTGTACCTTCCTTTTCTCCTAGGCTTTAGACTTGATGCAATTTGAGTTGTGATTGCAAAGGGATTCCACTTTATGATAAAGCTTGCTGTCTCTTCAGATACTTAACAGGGGGATTTGTGGACTTTTACAGCTAGGTTAGCTTCCCAAGATTATTTCTATCCCTGTGCTCCTTAAACAGGGATACTTAAACTTCATCATAATTTCTTGGTAGTAATGATTACTGAAGTAGAGATTCACCTATTGATCCCACAGTATGAGTATTTATGTCTTCCTGGAGTGTTGAATTTTATTTGCAGATTTTGTTGGAAATATCATTTAGAAATAAGAAATGAACATACTTAATGTGGAGAAGAATGGAAAGTGTTTCTAAAAACTGGAGATTTTGTAAAAAGAGAAATTGTATAGAAATCTCCCCCTTTTGGGGGTTCATTCCCCAGGTGTCCTTGAAGCTATACTTACTCGCCTCTGTTGTTGGGGGTAATTGCATAGACAAGTCAGAGAGGCACTGACTAAGTTAGTGGTTTCCAGCCATTTCACAGAGCAAATCTTTATTTTTTCCCCCTATGGATTTTTTAATAGCTTAATAAAACACTCTTTTGAAAGCTTTTTTTTTTTTTTGCCACCAAACCAGCTGACTTACAAAGTAATCATGTTTCTCCCTATTATTAATGACCTATTTTAACTGCCAATAGAAGCATCTGTTCAGATGAGATAATCAACCCAACTGAGTTAATATATTTTAAGCAGAAGCAAATTAATATGATAATTATATTAGAGTGGTAATTTTATCTGGAATAATAGTGTGATAGGGTAGGCTGTTTGACACCTTGGAAATAGTTTTGGGAACCACATTTCTGTTTTTTTGATTCCAGTATGGGAAGCTTTACAATCTCCTTATTTTAAACATGAAGAAACTGAGATCACGGAAGTTGGGATGACTTAAGCCACAATTTTCTTAAAAATCTTAAAGACCTCAGGGAACTTTCTCTAAACCAAATGGAAGATGAACCGACCTATTATATTATAATTTTTCCAGTCACTATTTGGCATGAAATAGATGAACTCATTTTGGCTGGCTGGTTGGACTTACAAAATAGAAAGCTTATGTTTATTTTATAATTGTTTTTCCTGCCATAATTTCATAATTGTTTTTCACTTTCATTTTTTTGCGGGGGAGGGTCCATCCATTCCCTTTCACTTCCACCCACTGGGTATTTCCCTTTGAGCTCAGCACTCTCAAACTTTTTTCAGGGTTTGGCCTTTTCTCTCATTGCAGTTGGTCCCCTGTCCAGCCAAGCAACTGTCCCTCTGAGCAGCTATAGCCAGCACAATAGAGGGTCTGTGGGTGTGTGGTGAGCAGTCCGGCGGGCAAGACCACTCTGCAGCTCCTGAAACAGGCTCCTTGCTATTGTGGTGTTTAATTATCAACAGCGTTTCTACCACCCAATGCTTCTGAGTGGGTATTTGTTATAAGACCTACCCAGCTAATTAACTGCGGGAGGGGTTGGAGGAGGGCTGGGAACTTGGTGTTCAAAGAATACAATTACGGTTACTGTTTAAATCCTGAGATAAATAATGATCAGGGACTGAATGGGTTTTCTTCACCATCAGAATCTAATGTATGGATTGCCAACTACTTACTATTTCTTAATTATACCCTTGCCCTGAAATTGGTGAATTTGGGCCTGGTTGATAATTGCTTAAAACTTGAAAGTATAATGAGGGTAAAATATAAACCAATTTTAATCTTTAATTGAGGATTTTAGGGAACAATTTACTTGGCTTGCTTGAAGAAATGGAAAAAATAGACACATTTGCACATTATTAATGATATGCCATTTTGCAATTTAGTAGCAGCTTTTCTATTATTATTATTAGCATTTTCCTCTTTTATTGATGAGAAAAGGGAAGCACTAATATAATCATTTAACCTCAGTGACAGAAGGATTCTTACAAGCAACTTTAGGTTTGCTAAACCTTAGGTTGCCTAACCCATGGCACCCTTGGCCTTGTCGGATCTTCTTCATGAGGGGACCTCAATGTTCATCAAAGTAGTCTCACCTACTGTCACCCAATTCTGAATTTAAATCCTGAAATCTATTTTCCTATTACTTTTCAAAGTGGAGACAATTCTTAAAATGGCTTTGGCATTTTGTAGATCAAGCACTATGCCTAACAAATACATCATGCTACCAGTTACTCTGCCATATTCAGCCTCAGTATCTCATCTGTAAACTGGCATAATAATGGCACCCATCTCATAAGATGCAATAAATTAATGATAATATTTACATAGAAGGCTCTGAGTGGAGGTTTACATTATTATTATTATACACATTGAGTTTATACTTTTAGAGACACGTAATTATAAATCAGAATACTTTTTTAGGTAACAGTTTGGTATTTTCCATTAAAAATCTCTTGCTTCAGATAAAAATTTTCTATTCTGCTACTACTTAGCAATATAATATATGCTCATAAGTGGTGTCAATTTCAACCCTGTTATTTCAAAGGCAAAAACAAGATCACTTAAGCATAAACCTGTACTGTAAGTCAGTATCCCCTTGGCAGCCAAGAAGAGCAGTTAATAAAATTTATCCTTGCTGATCATAAGCGTAATACAACTTTACAACTGACTTGGTTTAAGGTAGGAATATCAAAAGAAGTAAAGTATTAGGTATACTAATGATTAAATTATGTTAAATTAAGAAAACCTTATAGAAGAAACATGCAA